TTACCAAGTCCAGATTATCATTACCAACATGTCTGATTATAATACATTCGTCTCATCAGTATTTGAAGCGGAAGTCTAGCCGCTTATTTCCTTCCTTTTCTCGTTCTTCCCTGTCAGATTGGTACAAAACCCGCTCCTCGGGAGACATGACTTGCCATTTTCTCTCCTTTTGTCTGTTCAAATGCCGCAAAAATTCACGTTGGGCGACAAACACCGCCAAGGAGAGCACGCAAAGCGCAATCAGCACCTTGTTTCCAGTGTAATAATACGGCGAATCACTCGTCCGATAGATCTCTGTTCAACAATCAGTCACCTTGCCAATATCTCAACCGGGCCAAAACACTCACGCGAAGAAATAATCGACCCAATCTGCACAATCACATTATACGTCGCCGCCGTAATCGCTCTCTTCTTCACATCGAACGTATTCTCGGAAATCCACGCCGACACAATCGGATGAAAATACGGGTACCCGGAAATCATCGTCGAAACGGCAAACCGCGCCCAGTTATATCCATAATTCGGCAGCGCAACCAAAGCCGCCAGCAGCGGCAGAGACCAGAACTCGCCGAAGAAGCAATGGAACGTCCGCTCGCCAAAGATATCACTGCTTTTGGAAACGGCAAGCATGAGAATGATTTGTAACGCGGCGGACGGGATCGACAGCATGTTTGCGTCGAAAGTGTCAAAGCCGAGACGAGTCAGGGTGAGCGAGAGGTAGGACTGCACGGGACTTTGAGGAATATAGGCTACTAGTCCGATGAAGTAGAGTCCCCACATTGAGGGGTCTTTCCATGCTTCAAAGATGTCGTGTAGTGTGGCGCGCTCGTTGATGTGCGTTAGGCCTTTGGAGGGGTCATCGCGGAGGAGGCGCTGTTGGGGTCAGTCAGATTCCGTTCAATTAAAAAAGTTATGGTTTATGAGCACTTACGTTAATCATGATCACCTCTTCGCGCTCAGAATACCACGGCCGGGGGAACAAGACACTCTTGGTATTCGTTGGGGAACTGGGAAGGTAGAAGAGACTCTATTTGGCTGTTAGCAAATATCTCCTCTCTGTATACCTCAAGATAAAGGACCACATACAACCAACCCAATAACAAACGTAAGCAACCCATCAATCAAAAAAAGCCAGAACCAGCCCGACTTTCCCTCAACGCCGCGCATCTGCAGAATACCAGCAGCCAGAAGGGAGGAAACGATGCGAGCAACCTGAATCACGCATCGTATATTAGCCCTCATTCCACTTCTCTCTCTCTCTCTCTCTCTCTCTCTCTCTCTCTCTCTCTCTCTCTCTCTCTCTTCTCCATCTCCAACACCATTAAATAGTATAGAGGAAAACTTACATTCAACGTCGACCAAAAGAACGCCAATCTCACCGACAACTCCTTCGTCTTATAGAAATAAGTCGCGAAGAGAATCGTACCGGGGATAAACCCTCCCTCGAACGCACCAATAAGGGCTCTCGTCACATAAAATGACGCCCGGCTGGTCATCCACGCCTGCGTCCAGGAGACCAAACTCCAAGCGAGCATCATGACGGGCAGGACGCGCTTGAAGCCGAATCTTTTGATCAGAAGCTGGACGGGGAATTCTGCGGCGAGGAAGCAGACGAGTTGGATTGTTGAGCCCTGTATTTGGGAGAAGGGTAGTCAGTAGGTGGGATGGTGGGAAGGTATGGGGATGGGTATGGGGTTATATACGTTGTTGTAGTCGTCTGTGGTCATGTTTAGGTCTGCTAGGAAGTGATCTGTGAGTGCGTTGGAGAGGTTGCCGCGGTCGAGTTGGAGGCCGAAGAACTGATTTATTTTTCTGTCGTTAGATTTGGTCCAATTGAAGACATATAGGGTTTGGGATGGGGGTATACCATGAAGCAAATCCAGCTTAGAAGCATCAAGTCTGTTTTGAAGACGAGTTTCCTCTCTTCTTGGGGTGTCCATGTTGCTGTTGGATCGAAGCGGTGGTATCCTTCAAAGGAATCGTGGGGTGGAGTGACGCCTGCGAGATGCTCCTGTCCTACTTCGATTGAGGCTTTGGATGATTGGGAGTCTTCGAGTACATCGTGGGCTTTGACAGTGCCCTTGTTGTAGCCCTGCTCGATGTCGTCGGGCATGGTTACTGTTTACCACTGGATGTGGATGATGGGGATGTGGAGAAGAGCAGAGGAATGACACAGGTAGGGCTAGAGGCGAAACGTGGGAGAAAATGCCATGAACTACTTATATACTTATTTCATGGTGTATGCCTTAAAAGGCATGATTTGTTGTATGGAGTATACATACTACGGAGATGGCTGCAGTGCCAATACGATTCGCGATGGCGGAAGACAATGTGGTTATTCTTCCAACCAACCATATCGGGGGTGATTTTACGACTGAATCGATGCCTTTGAGCCAGAAAGAGACTAACCGGATTGCACAAGACGGATCACCGAGCACATCATCGCCTAGGGCGCCCTGATATGCGCAACCTGGCCATATCCCCAGCGGCACCCTGAAGTTCATAGCCAATGACCCTTTAGTTGCTTCGGAGAATCGCCTCGAATAAGATGGGTCCGGTTGAAGTTTTCATACCCATCTTGTTATTGCAGACAGTTGCTGAAGATCCTCGATGCGCTTCCCCGGATGCTGCTCTTTTTGCTGCAAGCTCGGGAGATTGGATGGACTATTCCACTTACGGATAACCTATGTATTTCCCCAGATTTGACACTTTGATAGTTGTTACCATAGAGCAGTCTTGCCTATGCGCAGGGAAGCTGGACAGGCAGCTGGCAAGCCCGTTCATGAGAGCACTGTTCATTCGTCGAAGGGCGATTTTAGCGGCCGGCACTAAAGCGACACAAGCTGGCAGGATGCAAGCCTCCTCCGAAAATTTCGCCGATGCCCCGCCGATAACAGCACCGTTGACTTGTGACTGGCGCTCAGGGATAAGACGAGACCCTTTCACCGTGCTGGATGCGGGGAAATGATTCATGTCACCAGACGGCTAGGAATCAGGGTCGGGTTGTCGTAGAACAGTTTGGAACATGCGAACAAATGACAAAAGCAGTAGATAGCATCATTCCACTCGTGTGCCAGTCGGGTAGAGGTGGAACGATCGACTTTCCATGATTCTCTTCTCTCGCGTTCCCGATACTCGTCACTTATCGAAAGTGGAGATTATTCGTCGGCAGCAGTCGTAATTCTCGCAGAGACCTCGTGTAGTCTGTATACCTGCTAGTATATAGTCACCCGTGAATCCGTCGGAGGCCGCGGAAATAATTGCTCCTAAATTTCATAAGATAGCGCTTTCATTTGCGACAAACATATTGATCACTGTCAATCAAGAAATCACCATGCCGTCAGCCGTCGAGAGTGCCTCAACCTCGACAATCCGCGGAGGACACGAGGAGTCCCGTCCACGGCTTTCAGAGCCCCTACAATACTCCGGATTGTTGGACTCATATACCCAGCAAGATTTGACTCCAGTCATCGGTAGAGAATACAAAGGACTTCAGGTGGCCGATATACTCAAGGCGGAAAACTCCGACCAGATTATCAAAGACCTCGCAGTGACAAGTATGCTTTGCGCTTCCTGAAATTCCGCGGAATATGACATACTGACAATCGGCAGTTTCGAAAAGAGGCGTTGTTTTCCTTCGTGACCAGGATGTCACACCCCAGCAAATGAGAGAATTTGGCGAAAGGCTGACTGTTTTGGCTGGCTGCGTAAGTAATTCTGACGATATCTGATATGGTCAGTGGAATAGACAGCTTATATATCCCTCTACAGCCCGAATCATCTGGGCTCCATGTTCACCCCTTGACGGAAGAAGGCAGCGAACTCGGTGATCAAATCAGTGTTATCAGCAGCGAAAAGCAGAAGAAAGGAGGCGGTCTTACCCACCAGCTCAGCGATACGAGTCGCTTCGCCTCTGTAGGATGGCATACCGATATCAGTTTCGAGCGTGTACCTTCGGACTACGCTATGCTCAAGATCCACACTCTGCCCGAAACCGGAGGAGACACTCTCTGGGCTTCGGGATACGAGATATACGACCGCCTGTCTCCTGAGATGGCTGCCTTCCTAGAGGGTCTGACAGCCACACACGATGCTAGCTTCTTCCATGACGAAGCACGCAGGCTGGGAAATCCCCTACGCAAGGGAATCCGAGGATCACCACTTAATCAAGGTGAAGACCTTAAGGCGGTTCATCCTGTCGTTCGGACTAACCGTGTGTATCAACCATCATCTCCAAAATAGATAAGAGTGCTAATGTGGTTATAGCTGTTACCGGTTGGAAGTCCGTGTATGTGAACAAGGGATTCACTAAACGGATCAATGGGGTAACCAAGGACGAGTCCGATATGCTGCTGCAGTATCTCTTCAATGTGAGTCAGAAACAACCTATTTACCAGCATTTGGTATACTGACGTTCGGCAGCTCGTCACACAAAACCACGACGCGCAGGTTCGCTTCAGGTGGAACAAGAATGACATGGCCATCTGGGATAACAGATCCACCTGGCATTGCGCCACTTATGACTACGCTGAAGCCCGGGCTGGTGACCGGGTCTGCAGTCTGGGTGAAGCGCCGTACTTGGACCTCCAGTCCAAATCCAGGAAGCAGGCGTTGGCAGAGGCTCAAGCTTAAGCCTGAAACCTGGTCTTGTAGGACTTTAGATTCTATTCACGTGGCGGGTACCATAAAATATATAATAATGAGTCTTCCGTTCCTTAGTTCTCATTTGACTGGCTTCGAATTGTGAAGTGGACTAAGGGTATAATAATCGAAAGCGATACCAACAATGGTACCGTCTTCAATGGTATCTCCTTGATTTGTATGACTTGTACTTTTGTGCTCGTTGGCTTTGACGCTAGTTAGAGGATGACTAGGTGTCATCAAGTTCTACGACTATAAAAAGGTCATGTCTTCCGGCTGGACCTGCAAATCAGCTGACCCCCTCCTTCCCGTTGTGGTCTTCTGACGGTCTTACATCTCTTGTGTCTGCAACAGCCTTACTTATCTTCATCGCACCACACATACAACAGCTTTCGTGATGTTTCATATACAGTTACATTTTAAGCAAGGATACCCAGGTCGAATTATAGTACGAGTCATGTCAGACAATTCATGAATATCCAAAGAGTCAAAGTCCAAACGCCAGAGCCCGGTCCCACAATAACCGCCGACTAGGCAGTGCCAGTTAGCCAGCAAACTGTGTATGCCTAACAGTATGAGATAGTGACGAAAAGTCTGAATAGACTCTCAATCGCAAAAAGGCGACAGATACCCGATCTGTCGGATTGAAGTGAAGCGTCATGTGTGGGTGCATTATGCCTGACAAGGTTCAGACATTCTCATATAGTTCCAGCAAACTGCATCATGTTAGACAATGATTATAGATGAGGAACCAGAATCACTCACTGCTATAACCCATATCCTCGCCGAACATAACGTCATGGACATCTTCTCCATCCTTCGTTCCCGAATCCGGGGTATATGTGACTGCTGTCTTGCCCATGGAGAGCGCCATGACGGGAGGTACCTCCTGGAGGTTAATAAACTCAGGCTTGTAGTTCGAATCCTCCGACAGCATGAGCTGATGAGCATTGACTGCTGCGTGATAGCCCATATGCATTGCAGCCCCGCAACGTTTGATTCCTGACCAGGAAACCATATCACCGACGGCAAAATGGGAATCGGCGTTCTGCAGGTTCTTGGGGAATTGCGTGCTACCTAAGGTTAGCTTTGTTTCAATGGTCCTTCTCCGGGGGACCTACGATGGGCGGATCTTGACGTAGCCTTCCTCAGTTAGGGCCTCTTCTGGTAGGTACGACGTTGTGGGAACAGAGTTGGAAACGGCGTTCATGACATGGCCTGCATAGATGGTCCTTCCATCAGCCAGCTCAAGTTTCCAGAGACGTCGCTCTCCCTCGGTCTCGATAGCTGTGATGTCGCGGACTCGTTGTCCAAAAATGAGCTTCACGCCTGCTTCACGCAGAATGGATCCCACACGCTCCTGGAATTCAGCCGGCAAAGGTTCTGCTGAAAGTACACGATCACGAGAGTGGATCAACGTGACATTGCGGTTGGGATGAAGAAGTCTGAGCTCAGTTGCCATTTCAACACCAACAGCGCCTAAGTTTGTCCTCGGTCAGTCATACAATGTTCAAAGTACACGACGAGGGTCAAGCTACATACCCCCTCCGATAACCACAATTCCATCCTGGGCATTGTGGATATCACCTACGTGCTTCTTGGCTTCTTCCACAAACTCATCCCTGCGAAGAGATTTGGGGACGGTTGGGAAGACACGTCGCAGTCCTGAACTAGCAATCAGGAAGTCGTATTTCTCCTTTCGTGTTTCTTTGGTGTGGGCGTCAAGGATACGGGCCACTTTGCTTTGGCAGTCAACGGAGTTCACACTACCGCGCAGAAATCGAATATCCGGGGACCTCAAGGCCGGAATGTCCTCGAACTTTGTCCAGGTCTTCGATGCATAATTTTCAGATGCCAAGGCTCTAGGAGATCCAATTAAGTGATCTACAATAAGGAATACGCATTAGCAATGTGAGCCGCGGAGACTTTGGGGGAGCCAGATCAGTGGTGAGTCTTACAGAAACCGTCACGTTCATCCACGACAGTTATTTGGATGGGAAGCTGTCTCTGCGGCGGCTGTGCATCTGGAGTCGAGTTGAAACGGGCTACTCGACCGCGAGATAGGTCAAGCAACGTCAGGGCTGCGGTCAAGCCACCGTATGAGCCCCCGACGACCAAGACACGGAACTGTCGCGTGAAAGATGCGATGCTTGTAGCAGACGGCATTGTGGAACGCTTGGTGCAGGTGTTACAAGAGCGGAGATTGAGAAGAGGGCAAGGCAGAGCACGCAAAATGTGAGAAGTCAACAGAAAATAAACCAGAGGGAATAAAGTCCGGGAGTAGAGCTGCCTTTAAGCACGGAGACCGCAATAACTCCGGCGAAAGAGGAGGCCACAGGAGCCGAGACCGCGGGACCGGTTCACTAACGGTGGAGCCGATTATATTGGTCAATATCCGCGCTGAGAAAAGGCAGAGAAATTAACTATTTCTATTTCTATCACCGAATGAACCGAAACTCTGGCACAGACTGACGTATATGCCGATTTTGCTGCTCAAGACTCCACCGTTGGGAAAGATGACTGAAAGTGTACGAAGTGTCATTTCCCGCGGCATACCACGGCGTGCCTACTAGTTAGGTAGTCTATTGGGTATATTTCTAGCAAGACCCGTGATCCAGGGTGATCCGGAGGACATGGAATATTCGACACCGGATCGTGTGATTCCGGGCACTGCCAGAAATGGGTCCTCGGCGGCCAATAGGGGCCGCTCTCCACAGGGGGTCATCTTATCAGATGGAACGCCAGCGAGATCGGAACGGAGAATTTGTGAGTTGATAGTCCAGGGAACCCGAAGTTCTACATTTTCAGCTGTGAGAATCATACAGAGAATAGGGTAGGTTTATACAAGTGAGCTTTGCCATAATTTTTTCGGATTCACAGACACTAATGATGTAAAAAGGTGTTTCGTTTTGCGCTGGCATCCCCGGGTCGGAAAACAAAAAAGTTATCTGATCCGCCTCTGCATTCCAGATTGACACACCTGCCGCCATTCTTTCCTAATCTAGAGTAGCGCCGCTCGCCTACTTTCGCAACTCTGGCTGCCCCTCCTTCTTTCTCTCCCAATCAGTTCTCGATAAAGTTATCAGATGGAAGGTGGGTGTCACAGTCATTCCCGAACTCGGAATTTGAAGAGGTGCCACGGGCTCCTTCGAAATTTCAACTCTTGGCTGTGTGCTCGGCGCCTCCCTTGCTTTGTGCATCGGCTTGAGTGTTTGCGCAAGAGGGCAGCAAGAGAAGAGAAATATTCGCCGCCGCTCATTATACTTGGAGAGGGGCAGATTCATACGTTTGGTCACAAGGGTAATACAGGTGGGCTTTATGGATGAATCGATTTCCAATCGCGTCCTATTGACAGTAACCACGTCTGCTTCTGGCTTTACCTTTTGTGCCCAATTCTGGGGTCTCCCTAATCTAGCGCATCTACTAGCTATGAAGATCAAAGAGTAATTCAAGCTAAAAAGGCCATGACCGAGAAAATGCGGGATCATAGAACGCAAACTGTCGATCAGGTAGGCCAGGGCCGCAAGGGCTGGGACTGCCTCGCTGGTCCCACACTCGATCTACAGCCGTAGATACTGCAAATAATATTAAGGAAAGCCAGATTTGCTCGATTTTGAAATAGTTAAGACACTACTAACCCCCAAGCCTATGTACGTCACCGCGCGTTTAATTCAGCCCGACAACTCATGCAATATTCACATTTCACATACTCAAAACCACCTTGACTTATCCCCATTATGACTTACGAACAGCCCGCTAGACCCAGCATCCAAATTTTCAATCACCTGGAGACACTTCCTAACACTCTCCTCGGGCTGGATCTGCCCCTTGAGCTCAGGCTCAACTAGCTGAAACATCTTCAGCAGGAGCTCATTCGCGTGTACCACCCCAGCGGGTTTCTCCCCTGTGTCACCGACTACATTAGCATCTCCCGCTTTACAGTCCAAAGACAAATAAGTCAGAGCAATGGAATTGACTTACCCTCCCACGTGTCAACCCATCCGGGGCTCAAAGCCAACACCTTAATTCCTCTAGGCGCAAGTTCCGCCGCATACTTCGCAACCGTGACATTCAACCCAGCTTTTGCAATAGAATATGCAACACCGCTACTAACACCAGCCTTATTGATAAGGTCTACATCTGCCATGCCGCTAGAGATGTGAACGATTTTCTTCTGCGCTCCTTTCTCGATCAGGGGAAGGAAAGCGTTCGTCGCCCATATACCGCCGTAGATAGCTGTGTTGAGCGACGGGCTGAATATATTCTGAATCGCTTGAGCATCAAATGGCAATTGGCTTGGGGTAGAGGCCATGCTATCCATGTCAACGGCGTTGGAGTTGTGGATGAGCACGTCGAGCTTGCCGTCCGTGATGGCAGCTGCGGCTGTGGCCGCCTCCAGAATGGAGTTTGGGTCCGTGACATCGCCTTTGATGATGTGCACATTGGAGTGCTTGGAGGCGAGATCTGAAATGTCGGCTGATTCAGGGTTTCGCACGATTGCCAGCACTGTATTGGTTGAGTCTGCGGCGAGTTGGCGCACGAATTCGCGGCCAATGCCTTTGGAGGCTCCGGTGATGGCGTATGAGGACATTGCTGATCTTGAATATAAAATGTAATAATAAATAAATCTTAGTAGTATCAAATGAGTAAATTCTGTCTGATGCTATTGCGTTATTCTGTCGCTATACTCGTCGACATTTATATACATTTGGCGGATTACCAACCGTCCCGACCGGACGATCCGATCCCCCGGTCCTACTACTCCTTGTCAGCAAGCGGGAGTAAGCAACCTCATCAACCGGCCGCTCCGTTTCCCCCGTTCCCGACTCCTCACGATGCGACATCATGAGCTCCCCAATCTCCGCAATCAAAAGGAGAGCATGCGTGGCGTGCACCACCGCCAAGGCGAAGTGTACGCCACAGTCTGCCAACCTGTGCCAGCGGTGCGCTCGTCTAGGCAAGTCGTGCACGTACCTTGACCTTCCGCAGACAAAGCGTAAGCAGAGACAGAAGGCTGCACCGAGGTACTCCCTCTATTAAAGACAAATGATACTTACAGTGCTAACCAGTAAGAATGCAGCCGTGTAGAGCTCCTAGAGAAGAAAGTCGACCAGCTCTTGTCCCAGCTGGCTACCTTGACGCAACAGCAGAACGGACAGACATTATCGCCTGATACCTCTACTAATGATAGTCTACCGACTAACAGTAAAGACCTGCACACATCTTCTCATGATTCCTCCTCCCAAGGAAGTTCAACGGACACAGACATAGCCGCGCTGCTAGACGCAGCTAAAGACCCATCCCATGGCCCTAATCCATCAACCAGCTCTGTCCTCGCGGGCCAACCATCACTCGTAGACCGAGGGCTCTTGAGTCCAGCTGAGGCCGAGCGTATGCTCACTTTTTTCAAAGCTGACTTCGCTGCCAAATTCCCGTTTGTTTTGATCCCGCACGGCGAGACAGCCGATCGACTCAGGGTTCAAGAGCCGTTTCTATTCTTGTGTGTCGTCGCTGCGACGATGGGCAGTGCGCACCCTCTGCGCAAGATCGTCGCTGAGGAGATTATGAACCATGTTACCTCGAGGATTGTAGCCCGGTCTGAGAGGAATCTCGAGTTGCTTCGTGGATTGTTGGTTCATTGTGCGTGGTACACGTATCCTGCTGAGAAGTATCATCCAAGGCTGTTGCTGTTGATTCAGCTTTGTGTTGCGATTGTGCATGATTTGGGGTTGCATAGGAGGGATGGGTTGGGTGTGGATGAGCAGAGGGCGCTGTTGGGGACGTATTGGTTGTCTGTTGGGTGAGTGACTGCTTGCCCTATACGCGATTTCATGCTAATTGTATATTGATAGGTTCTGTGGCACACTGGGTAGACCTATTACCATGAAGCATGATAGTCAAATTGACGTATGCCTCAAGAGTCTAGCATCATCTACTACCACTACCACCGAGTATCCATCAGACCGCTGGATCGCACCATTCATCCATCTACAGTCATTCATGGCAACGATGGACGAAGTCTACGCTTCGATGCCACCAACCGGCGGAAGTGCCCTCGTGCAAGTCACGCGCGGCTCTCTACAGCGACAATTCGACAACCTACGGACATCCATAGAGAAAGACCTCCCAAGCTGCCCTCCATTAACAGGTACCTAATACCACCCACTACCACTCCCCCATAGTCATTCATGAAAAATAACCAAACCTCTAGCAACCGCCCTCACCACCGAACTCAAATACACCGAAATGCGACTCGACGACCCATCCCTCCGCGAAGACCTCTGGACCACAGACCCCGCCACGACCATCATCCGAACAACCATGCTGATGATTCTCATCCAACGAAGCAAGGAACTCATCCAGATGGTCGCGAACCTCCCCGTATCAGAGATCCCCCAATTAACCGTCATAACGAACGCCCGTATCTGCGCCGCAGTGGGATACATCCCCACTGCTGTTTTGGCACTTCTCAATCTTATAAAGCACACTTCTTCTTCTTCTTCCTCAACACCGTACCAAGACCAAATCCAAATCCAAACCATAATTACCACAGCAGACTACCCCAACCTGGTCACTTCGCTAGCCACAGCACTAGAAACCAAGCTCCAACATGAACAGGGGAAACCGATATTATCCGCCACAGACAAAGAGATGGACGTGGTAGGGAGTCTTTGTTCGAAGATGCGGTTGTTGGCGCGGTGTTATCCTTATCAGGTTAGGGGGTTGGTGATGGGACGAGATACATTAAGGGTGGAGGATACTACGTCGTTGTCCACGGCGACTACTTGTACGGATCATCAGCTGGATGTTAGTAGGGGTGAGGTTGATGGTGAGATGGTATCCCAGGACTGGATGCCTGATAATAATGATGGTAATAGTATGTATGACGATGTGGAGGGTATGTTTAATGTGGATGATATTCAGTGGGATGCGCTATTGAGGGATTTTACGACGGGGTTTGGGTAGTTGGGAAGTTACTGTGGTTAAGTTACTTAGTTACTTGGTCGATCATGATCGAGCTCTATGTACTTTGGTAATTGGTATCTTGTGAGCTTTCAGTTGCTGGGATTTTCTTTGTTCCCGCGGGTGGAATCGGATCTTCCGGTGCGGGTGGGTTTTCTGGTGAAAGATCGCGTGATGGTTCTTTACTTAGAAAGTATATAGGTAGGGTTTCGATGATAACCGGTCATGCTTATGGCTGGTTTATAACCTGCAGTGCTTGTAAAAGATTCGGGTGCTGGGTAGAATACACTAGCTGATACATGCAAGTGACGAATTGGGGGATGAGAAGCAAAATGCTATTTATCAGACTACTCTATCTATTGAATCAGGCATTCAACCAAGGCAGACCGTGTTCGAATCAGCGCTCAATTGCAAAGCAGCAGGTTTCCCGGCGAAGATACTATGTCTCCAAAATGACACTTCCCGGATGCGAGTAGAACCAGTTCTTTCTGTAACGGGGGATAGTAATCAATGACAAAAAAAAATCCATCCAATGAGAACAGCCGACCAAGAGCGTACGTTTTGCATTTCAGGAATTCATAATCCCAGCAGACAGGGAGTAAGGGCATAACACAGGACAGCATAACGGATAGATAGCGATATCGATAATATCGTATAACAGCGGTAGGTAGTCCAGGAAACGCCCGCGACTTCCGGAACGATAATGATTATAATCCGTCTCAAAGAGTCAGGCCTCTCCTCACCACCATTGTCATAAACTGAACACATGTACACTGTATTTGAAGAAGGCAGCGGCAGATTGGAACTAGTAGTGCCCTACTGCACATCCATGCCCCGCTGCAGCGACGATTCCAGATCGTTGTGGTGGCCACCGCCTGCGGCGAGCGCTTCCTGGGGCTTCGGTTCCTCCGTCTTCCATCCGCCTTGTTGGTTGTCGGGGATGGGCACGTTGGTCTGCTGGGCAATCTGCTGCTGCTGCGCGGCGGCCTGCGCCTGCGACTGCTGCCGGACCAGAGCCCGGAAGCGCACTACCTCATCGTAGATCATGTGGCGCATCTCCTGCACGTCCTCGACCACCTCGAAATGGAAGTCGAAGGTTGTCGGGCAGGTGGGCTCATCCGAGGCGTCGTGCCAGATGTGCAAGTAAGGATGCTCAAGGGCCTCCTCAACCGAGATACGCGACGTCGGGTCGAACGCAAGCATGCGATCGAGCAGGTCGAGAGCATCGGGGTTGGCGTTGGGGAACAGGCGCTGGAAGGGGATCTTGGGCATGAACGGCAAGTTGCGAACGTACTCCTGAGCACGAGGTGAGCCGATGCGGCTCAGAGTCTCCTCGTTAGGAGTACCCAGATAGTGGAGAATCTGGTTAAGCTGGTCGACATAGTCACGGCCCTTGAAGAAGGGCCGGCCACCCAGCAGCTCGGCCAGAATGCAACCCACGGACCAAACATCGACTGGGCATTGATCAGCTACAGCGTCGGGGTATGGGGGTTATCAGGGACACATACTGGCTTTCGTGTAGCTCTGGAAGCTCAGCATGATTTCCGGCGCACGGTACCATCTTGTGGCGACATATTCCGTCATGTATCCTGCATTCTCCTCCGGGTCGATAGAGAAACCACGGGCCAAACCGAAATCGCAAATCTTCAGCTCGCAATCCGCGTTGACGAGAAGGTTTCCGGGCTTCAAATCACGATGCAGAACGTTGGCCGAATGGATGTATTTGAGACCGCAGAGGATTTGGTAAATGAAGGATTGGAAATGGGCGTCGGTGAGGGGTTGTCCGGAGCGAATGATAGCGGCCAAATCGCATTCCATCAATTCTAATAAAATATGAAGTTAGCAGCAGGAAATGAAACCCGTAGGTACAGAAAGAAGCCTCACCCTCGTACAGGTACGTCTCGTTGAAGTTGTCCGGGCGGGGAATGTCCATGTCATACAAGCAAGTGATCTAAGCCATCTTCACGTCAGCCTCGAGGCTCGGAGCAATCACCGGAAGGAGTGAAAGGATAACGCACGTTACGGTGACCTCTGAAGTGCTGGAGCAGCTTGATCTCTCTCAGAGCGCGCTTGGCGAGAATCTTCTTGCTGAAAACGTTGGTGACCTTCTTGATGGCGACACCCTCACCGGTGTGAGCATTTGTCGCGGCGCTGATATTGTTAGAACAATGAGATCCATCGAAACGATAGCGAATGCTCTAGGATGAGTGACTCCATCGGAGAATATCAAACCTACCAAACAATGCCGTATGCGCCCTGACCCAGCTCCTTGGTGACATTGTAGCGCTCATCGACGATAAAGTCCTGGTTGAAGACCTTGAAGATCTTGCGACCCTGCAAGTCGGCCATGATAAACACGCGTACAAAGTAGAAGAACACAAACAAGAAAGATAGTAAAAGAAAAAAGGAAGCGAGACGAGGGAAGGCGGGGGAAGTAAAGGGGAAGTTATGGAGGCCGAATGGGGAGAGTCGATGAGGTAGGGAGAGAGTTGTTCCGATGGATGGCACCAGGTGGGGTAGTGACTGAGTTAAGTCACTTAATTGTAGCAAAAAAAGTAGGCGCTGGGCTGGCCCGGCGGTGCGTTTTTGACTCTCTTTTCTTTTCCCTGGTGGATTTAGGCGTCTCTCTCTGTCTCTCTCAGAGAAAATTCCCTCCGGCTTTGGTTGCTTTTTCCCTTTTTTTTTTTTTTTTTTTCTCTTTGTCACTTTTTCTCCAGACAAGCTCGGCGGGTTGAAAGTACAGAACCAGTCAATCAATTCACCAGGAATGGCGTCTGTCAGGCCGTCGTCTGGGTCAAGCGCCCCGCCAATGTCCGGGAGGGTCTGGATTTACTCTGAAACAGGAGAAGCTGGAATTGCGGGATCAGCAGAGACACGGCAAGACAGACTCGAAGAATGTTAACAGGCTGAAGCTGAAAAAGAAGAAAACGAGAGACTAATACCCACCACCGACAGGAGAAATCAACAGAACATGGGAGATGGAGTTCGTTGAAAGTGACGAGGTGTGACGGGCAACGCACATTGCTTTCTGATTGGACCCTGCGAAGCGCGCAGCTTGCAGCAATTGAGGGGAACCATTCATAGTCGGAGATGTAGGAGGAGTTGCAGCCCATAGGAAGACAGCAATGCAACTAATTAGCGAGCATTGGTCTCCATAACGGCGTCGCGAGGGTGCAAATGCAGGAGCCTCTACGGAATACTTCATACAACAAGGTGGGTTCATTCAACGGGTCCATCGCGATCTGCTCCGATGATCTGGTGCCTGAGGCACTTTACATCTTCCCTTCCAAAAAGATAGTCTTCATCATCACATATTCTGGGAGAATAATCTGTATACGGTATCTTACATATGTATCTGTGTGTATCTCTACGTCTATGAGTATCTTATCAAACAGTCATCCTATGCAGCATGGTTCCAAACCACCTCCAACACCTCCACCTCCTCAGGTGTCACCTCATGCACATAAACCTGCTTCACTCGATCCTTCTCCTGCACTACATCTCTCATCCGAAAGGAAATCTTCTTTTCATCCTTGCGGCGTAGTGGTCCCAGACTGTAAGTAAACGGATTCGGACCAGTATACTGGCTAGCATTCCAGGTCTGCTCCATGGCCAAGGGATCGTCTGACACGGTCGAATACTTGATCACGGAAAACCCGTTGACAAGATACCACTCATCTTGTAAGAGCCACCTGTGGAGCAAGCACTCCTCGCCACAGATGCTGGACGCCTTGCTGAGAGCCGCCATATCAGCCTGGAACCAAGACTTCCAATGATGCACCGAGAGAGGCTGAGCCCGCCCAGCCTCGTAAAATCCTGACGCATCTCCCCGGAGATCCAGCTGGAAAAGATCTCGCTCCCAGGAGAGCTTAGTATTCGTGTGCTTATAGATGCACTGCGAGAGCATGTGGTCACCACCCCCTTTGAACACGTAACATTCATCGAACCACGGCTGGAGTTGCTCGAGAAGCGGAATAGATAGGAAGATCCCTGCACCACCATATGCCATGTAGCCACTACTGTACATCTGCTGCAAATCCTCCGTCACAGCACCGACATACTGAGGCATTGAGGCATCATAGGTGGCCAACCGATCCACCAGCCGGGTCATTGACGGGAAGAACGTATCATCATCCATCATAACCACCCACTGGGTGGACTTATCCTTGTGCTTGTACAAGTACTGCACCAGATAGAAGTATCGATCCAAGCGCTCATTATCTTCCTCGACGATGGTAAGCCGAATTCCCAGCGCCTGCGCCCGTCTCTCAGCCTCCTTCTTTTGTCCTCCACTATCCACCACAGCCAAGATCTGCGCATTGGTTCCCGCAGCCCAATGCGCAAACGCATCCAGGGAGTCAATCAAGCGATCAATCGATGTAGATAGGCCGAATATGATATGAGATGCGTCCGGGGGTGCACTGGGCTGAGGCCCCTCGATGGTCACGGTGGCAGTACATTTTTCCGGCGACAGAGTCTCTCGATGGGCTTCGGTGTCTAGGTGTACGGTGCGAAACTTCGGAAAGCGCGTGCTAAGAGTATCCGCATAACCAGTGAAGTTTTCCGTAGGTGTCACGGCTATCTCGAGCCTAGCATATTGTACTGTGGCGGTACTGGAGTATTGTCGGAGAAGATCGAGATCCACAAAGCAAGGATTGGTGTCATCGGGAGAAGCTAGGGAAGGACTGGACTCGAGATTGGGAATTGGAGCAACATAGCTAGGTCTGGAGTAGAAGAATAGTATGAAGCCTGCGGAGAAAAAGGCCGTGGCGATGATTAGTGCCGACGCCCTTGATTGGCGCCATGACCGACGGTGCAACGGCGGAGCCATCATGGATCAGTCATGACGGTGATGCGATTGAGTCTTCCCGTACGCGAGATTGTGTGCACCACAAGGATCATCCTCACCCCGGTCAGAAAGGGCGTGATTCGGTCCTCAAGGAGTGGAAGTTGAATTGGGAAGAAGTAAAACGTGGTACATTAAGTCCGAGCAGTCTGGCTCGCGTTTCGGGAATGGACGGTCGGACATCCGAAACGCAATCGGCGGCCAGCCCTTGGGGCCAAACTTTACCCCTTTTCTTAGGAGATGAATCGCTTCTTAAATGAAATAATTCATGGATTGAGGCTCAGTTAACAATCAATAGCTAGCTCTAACGCCCTTGCAATTCTAAACAATATCCTCTGCCGCCATATACGTGAACTTTTACCCCAAAGGCTATACTCAATCACCGTGGAAGAAACACAGCATCACGCAGCGCTCGCTTCGTCTTAATCTCCGGGTCTAATCTCTCATCACTGCCGACATCGCCTCTTATGCGATCTAGTATCTAAGTCATGGTATATTGACACGTAGATCTCGTAGCACGTAATTCAGAACCCGCGATGCAAACGATCAGATGCAAGAAAAATGATGTTTCGCTTAGAGAGCGTTGACCAGTCTCCGCTCCTTTCTCAGGACCCGGAGCTTCTCGCGGACCTCGTCGAGAGGGATCATCACGCCCTGTTTCTGGGTGGCAGGGTCATCACGGTTACGGATGTTGACCGTACGGCTCTCCTTTTCGGAAGCGCCAACAACTATTTCATATTGTCAGCGCAGGTCCACGAAAAGCAGGATTCAGATGTCACTTACCGAAGATGAAGTTGTATTGCTGAAGCTGTCCAGTACGGATCTTCTTCTGCATGGTGTTGCCGCTGAGGTCGATGTCCACGTTCAGCTTATCGCCGCGGAGAATCGTCTGCAACTCCTCAACGTAGTCGTTGACAGCAGGCATGACAGGCACGATCAGGATCTGACGAGGGCTGATCCAGAAAGGCCACTTGCCACCGAAGTGCTCGATCAAAATTCCAAGGAAACGCTCAAAACTGCCGATGATAGCACGGTGGATAACGACCGGGCGAGCACGGCCAGGACCAGGCTCGTTGGGCTTGGCCTCACCCTCCTTAGCGGCATCAGCAGAAGCCTTCTCGTTGCTCATGTACTCGAGCTTGAAGTTAATGGGAGCCTGGTAATCAAGCTGGATGGTGGCACACTGGAACTCTCGCTTGAGGGCGTCAGCGATGGTAATATCGATCTTCGGACCGTAGAAGGCACCATCACCCTCATCGATGGTCCAGTCATTGCCCTTGAACTTGGTCATGGCCGCCTTGAGCTGCTCCTCTGCGTAGTTCCAGGTCTCGAGCTCACCCAGATACTTCTCGGGCCGGGTGGAGAGCTTCAGCTTGAAGGTGAAGCCGAAAAGGCCGTAGATGGACTGCAGGAAGTCGAACAGACCCTCGATTTCAGACGTGATCTTTACAGTGTTAGCTCCGGATTATTCAACAGGATGCGAGCCCGATCGTGAAAACTCACCTGGTCTTGAGTACAGAAGATGTGGGTGTCATCCTGCTGAAACTTGCGAACACGAGTGAGACCGCTCAGGGCTCCAGATGCCTCGTTTCTGTGCAGGACACCAAAGTCCGCAATTCTCAGGGGAAGCTCTCTGTAACTTCTCTCGCGGTGGCCGAAGAGCACAAAGTGACCGGGGCAGTTCATAGGCTTCAGAGCCCACTCCCTCTTCTCGACATCAAGCTTGAACATGTCATCCTTGTAGTGGGCCCAGTGACCAGACGTCTTCCAAATGCCGACATCATACATGTTGGGGGTCTGAACCTCCTGGTAGCCGCGCTTACGGTACTCGGAGCGCAAAAGGGATTGGAGAGCGTTGAAGATCTTGGTACCGTTGGGGAGAAGGAAAGGGCATCCTGGAGAAACCTCGTCGAAGAAGAACAGCTCTTGTTCCTTACCCAGCTTAACGTGGTTGCGCTTCTCAGCCTCCTCCAAGAACTTCAGGTGCTCTGACATCTGCTTCTTATCGGGGAAAGCAACACCGCGGATACGCTGCAGAGAGTCGTTGGACTGGTCACCGAGGAAGTAGGCGGAAGAGTTCTTTGAGGTGTCAGCCATATATTTACGAGGCATCGATTCATTATGATACACACCTGCATGATCTTGAAGGTCTTGACCTTGCCGGTGCTCTGGATATGGGGACCTCTGCACAGATCGACCAAGGTACCACACCGGTAGACAGTGCTCTTCTCTCCGGTGACGAGCTTGTCGATGTAGTGCAGCTTGTACTTGCTGTACGCGAACATCTTCTTGAGGTTCTCCTTCGTAACCTCCAGTCTATCGAAACTCTGCTTCTCCTTGAAGATGCGGTTGGCGTGGCGGTCCAACAACGGCCAATCGGTCTCTCTGACGACGCGGCTATTTCACTATCAGTATAGCTCTTCCGCATTATCTCACCCACACTTACTTTTCCGGCATGGCCATGTCATAGAAGAAACCCTGGGGCGTGGGAGGACCGTGGGACAGAAGACATCCATATTCGCATTCACAAGCCTCACCCAGACAGTGAGCGCTAGAGTGCCAGAAAACCTCCCTACCCTCGGGGTGATCGAAGGGGACATAAGAAACGGTGCAATCTCCCTCGAGCGGGCGGCTCAGATCCCACAGTTCCTTTCCAACCCTCGCGAGAACAACATTGGCGCTCAACTCTTTGGGTACGTTCTTCAGAAGCTGTGCGGGGGTGGTCTCCCAGGCGTTTGCGGTGACATCGATAGAGTTTCCGTCGCCAAGCTCGAGGTTGACCTTGATTTCCGGGTGGGGCTTGTTCTTGAGTTCCTCGAGGTATTGTTGCCAGAGTTCTTCGAAGAAGTTGTTACGTTCGACAATGAAATCGGGGAGCCCGTCACCTGGCGCATTCGAAGGTTAAAAGAGGGGTTTGGGAAGCGTATGGCGGGGCAGGCAGTGGCTCACCAGCAGGTTTGGCGTCGGCCGCCGGCCTGACGGGAAGGTCCTTTGCGCCTTCGGAAGACATTTTGTATCCAGAAACGTCTGAAGAACGACCTGGGAGTATTAGACCTGGGAAGAGGGGCAGGGCCAGCAACGATGTCTGACTCACTATCTCTTAAGGAATCGGACGATCATGAAACGCAAATCGACAGTGAGGGACCGAAGGCGGTGAGCCACGTGACAGAAAACTGCCCTTGCGGCTAGCGACACTTTACCGTTTCGAGCTTCCCACCATTTGAAAACTTCTCCGGACTCCGAGATCCAGGTCGACCGCATCAACAGCAATTAAACATGTCTTTCCGTGGAGGCCGTGGCGGTTTCGGTGGCCGTGGAGGTGAGCTCAAGCAACATTAGAGGTCGATCGCAGTGCTGGGTATGAGCTAACGAAAATTTCGTCGGATAGGTCGCGGAGGTTTCCAGCAACCTCTCGGTCCCCCTGCCCAAGTTCTGGGTAATTATACGCCAAAATGCGATTGGAGTGTTTGGGACTAACGCGGAGTAATTAGAGATGGGAACTGTCATGCATTCTTGCGAAGGCGAGATGGTTTGCGAATCCATCAACCCCAAGATTCCTTACTTCAACGCCCCCATCTACCTCGAGAACAAGGTATGCTCGACTCAGATACTCTCCGCAAATCGCGATGCGCTAACGCAATTTTTCAATAGACCCCTATCGGTAAGGTCGATGAAGTCCTGGGCCCCATCAACCAGGTCTACTTCACCATCAAGCCCCAGGAAGGAATTGTCGCGACCTCCTTCAAGCCTGGTGACAAGGTCTACATTGGTGGCGACAAGCTCCTTCCCTTGGAGAAGTATGTTGCATGCTGTTGTTGATCATGATTAAAACATGACTAACTTTGCAAAACTAGGTTCCTTCCTAAGCCCAAGCCCGCTCCCGGTATGATATCGCTCGCTTCGCGCAACAATACTATGTGCTTGATTCTAACCAGAATACAGGTGCTGCCAAGCCCAAGAGAGCTGGCGGTGGTGCCAGAGGCGGTCCCATGCGCGGTGGCCGTGGTGGTGGCCGTGGTGCCCCCATGCGTGGTGGTCGCGGCGGCGCTCCCAGAGGACGTGGTGGTCCCCGGGGTGGTGGCTTCCGTGGTGGTGGCGGTGGTGGTTTCGGCGGTGGTTTCTCGAGGGGTGGTGGCAGAGGAGGACCTCGTGGTGGAGGCTTCCGCGGACGGTAGACAGTCTCTGTCTTGCCTGGTAGTACTGTCTTCTTACGGCGTTATGGGAAACGGGAGCTTTTACAGGAATTTATTTGTCTCTATATTCTTGTGCATCCTAGGAAAAATTTGCTGCTTCTCTGTACGCAGAGGCTGTCGTGAATCTCAGCCATCCAATTCATGTATTGCTACGATCGATTATGCGGAATATTGTTCTTTCATTATTTGGTTCTGGTCTTCGAAGAAGCCATAAAATGCCTATGACTGGATGGCAAATGTGGCGCAGTAAACTTTTTCAGCGACGGTCTAGAGTGGCTAGTGTCATAGTGTGGCGCATGACAACACCGCCTTGCAATGACGTCTGGCCACGCTTGTGCCGTAGAATCTGTGCGCCTGTCAACACTTCTGAAGACAGCTGCCTAGTACCATTGCATCATTTCTTTCCTATCCCCACAACCTGTTCTCGAATATATCCAACGTACACCACTACTTTGATTGTTTGTCCTGCGAGAATCTTCTTTCCGTCGAATTCACCTGAGCATGTCTCGCAGAGTTTCTGCCATGCCGTCAAATACTTCCACGACTAGCGGTGTTCCACCTGCGGGTGACGGTGGTGAGCCTGCATCCCTGCGACAAGATCCTTTAAGCTTCTGAATCTAACTGGTAGCAGCTCAAGAAAAGCAAAAGATGCTTCTCTCTTCCGAAACAGGACACTTTAGCATGATCAGGTCAGCCATTGAGAGCTCGTTGCTATGAATTCGACCACTTCACTTACACAATTACGCACATCAGGGCTCTGCATCTTGCTGATCTGGTAACTGAACTCAATGGTAATATACCAGATCCTCTCTCAGACCCGTTCATATCCTGAAATATCCATTCGCTGACACCCATTATAGGATTCTGTGGAGGCAAGCACAAATTTTCTCCTTCCTTCGAGCCCGCGGACCCGGAACTAACCGCCCATAAACAGTGATGTCCGTCTTCTCCTCGATGCGTTACTGTCTAGGTGACCCTCGCGATTTTGGCGCAATTTGGGCTGCTCTGATATTCATGCCCTTTGGGCTGTTCTTCGACTTCATGGATGGACGGATTGCTAGATGGAGGAAGAAGTCGTCACTCATGGGACAAGAGCTCGACTCACTGGCCGATTTGGTATGGTCCCCTACTTCACTTGTCATGCGGCTCTTTCGCTCATTGTTCGCTTTCTGTGCTCTAGATTTCCTTCGGAATGGCCCCTGCCGCCGCAGCTTTTGCCCTCGGAATGCGCACCAGCCTCGACCACCTGCTCCTCTCCTTCTTTGTTCTGTGCGGCCTGACACGATTGGCCCGGTTCAACGTGACTGTTGCTGTTCTGCCGAAAGACAAGTCCGGAAAGTCGAAGTACTTTGAGGGCACCCCGATCCCGACCACATTGTCGATTACCTTTTTCCTGGCCTACTGTGTCTCTCAAGACTGGGTACTGGAAGATCTACCCCTCGGCCTTGTAGCCCAGGGCACAGCGTTCGAATTCCACCCGCTGGTACTACTGTTTGTTTTGCACGGCTGCCTTATGGTCAGCAAAACGCTGCATATCCCTAAGCCTTAAAAGCAGGGAGAACCGAACGGGCAATCAGGCACTTGTCCGGATCAGGATTCCCAAATGTGATAGAAATGTCTTTTTACGAGCAATATACACCACGGGAGACCGGATAATAGGGAAAGAAAAAAGTATGGTACGATGTATCTGTGGAAGATAACGCAGTTGTCACAGAAATGAAAATAATTTGCATATGTTGCATAGTGTCTTGTCCTTCGTTTTCAGCAAGTATCGGGGTTGGTATTGTATACAGGAGATTATCTACCTCTAGCTTATTGCAATGATGATACATATAGGTTTATAGTATGGTGATCCTTGTCATGTCATCGTGCAGCAGCTACGCAATGTTTCTTGCTTTGTCCTAAATACTGAGCATGTTTCAAAGATCAAGATCCTCTAAACAGATAGGGAAGACACCACTATGATACTGTTACACATTGTTTTTGAGAGAACTATCATGTCGGCGAATGGTTGTAGCATTGGATGTTCACTTCATGACCAAGTACATGCTCAATGCAGGAAACATCGCTCAAGTACATACTCGTAGAGGATATAACGGTGCAGCTTGCAATAAGCTCCAAAGTAGGAATCCGAAGCCCAATGAAGTGATCATCCATCCACATCCGATATTCATATAATCGATGTGTCATATAATCGACTCAAAGATACCACATGACCTACCAGATATGGAGGGAAGACCAATGCACGCCGAGTCCGAAATCATGGGGGGAACCGTCCCTCTCGTGTTGATAAGCAGATCAGGAACTAGACGATGGAGCCGATGGCCACTCAAGCCCTCTATGGAGGTTCTAGCCTGCCAACTTCGACCTACTAATATTACAGAACAAGATGTCTTAGAACTCCCTACGCCCTCAATAATCAGCCAGATACATGATCATCATAAACATTTCCTCACCATCCCACCAAGCAGCAAAGTGAAGAAGCAAAAGAAATGGAAAGTGAGTCAGTCGCAAAGACCAACCCTACCTCACCCCCCGAGTCAGTCATGGTCACACACACACACAAACACTCAAAAAACCAAGTAAGACCCTTGAGGTTATCATTACCAGGTCAAGTTCCCAATGATCCATCCGCGTGTTCCCTCAGCCAACCCAGTTAATTATTGTGTATCTAGAACCGAGATTTCCCTTTCTTGGCAAAGCAATAGAAAATCCTGCGCTATTGTCTCTTGCGCGTTCACGATTGGGTCTATCATTGACGGAACTTTTAAAAATGGAAACCCCGGGAGAGACATCGTGGATCCTGGTGACACGTTCTAGACCCCTCGGTCAGGGTTTCACTTTGAGTTGGGCCTTTTTCTACTGGGTCGCTTTGACTCACTCATTTGCTTGCTTGCTTGCTTGCTCGCTCGCTCACCGTCTCTGGCTAAATGGTAGGACCTCTTGGTAGTCGGAGGTGGTATCCGGTGAGGCCGAGAAAAGCGTCAAGTGGGTGAATTGCCGACAGTGCCGGTGATCTTCTTTCCTTTGCCCTGCGGATGGATGGATGGATGGATGGGGTTGTGGTGTTGATAGTTTCTAGTTTTACAATATTTTTCCTCGTCATTTACTACTAGTAGGTGGGAATTGATCTTTGTTTTGCTTGCTTTTTTATTCTTTTTCACTTTTTCTTTGCTCTTACCTTTATCCTTTTCCCGGTGTATCCGTACTATTTTGGGAGTGCTGACATAGGTGGATGGTGTTCGAGTAAGTAGTCGAGCCTTGCCAGTGAACTGGAAACCTACAGCCATCGCAGCATAGACAGACCCTACACGACAAACCACTTCGGAGAATGCTAAATTTCAGACACCCGTTCCTACAAGGCCTGGAATGATGGAAAAAGAACGGACGATAAGCTTATTCGGCATGTGAAGAAGGATTGCTGCTGCTGCTGCTGCTCCATACTTCTAGAATTCCTCACATGGGCCCGCGGGAAACGGGAACAGTTGATCGTGCATGTTCGTTCCCATCTTCAAAATAAAACTTGTGGGTATGTTATTGGTGGCGAAAGATCAAGCATCTTCCTTCCACGCGCGCTCCAAAGGAGTAAGAGGAAACAGTAAAAGCAAGATGCACGATGTAACGGACATGTGTCTACTTTCCTGTAGAATGGGCGGCAAGAAGTCGCCGGTTGTTTCCTATTGAACATGGTAGTTTCCGACCGAAGGAGTCGTCATCAGTTGCACTTCCCCATTGCCCATCAATCAATTAATCAACCTCCTGCAACTCGATCAGCTCATTACAATTTATCAGCAACGGAATTTCCTGGTCGTCGAGAAAGCGCCGTGATTCCAATTGCCTGCATAGAGTCTTGCAGATATACGCGTCAAGGGGGGTGGGAGCGGAGAATCCTTGCGTAGATACTATCCAAGCGGTGTTTACATTTACAACACTTACTAAGTAATTTTTTTTTTACGGGGCGCAGGCTGCACTTCTGCAGGGGTTCCAAAAGGTCCCACTATCTACCGCGCGCCCACCGCACCCCGGAAACGACCCGACCGTCTTGAACCATCGGAACCATTCCAGTCGCAGGTTGGTAATGATGCAAGAGGATCTCCCTCGACCGAAACAATGATGTGGCAAATGAAGCTCTGATACGTAGAGCATAAGTGCGTTGTGTCGCGTTGTAAATCGCTACCCACTATTGAGTATTGACTGTTTCAACGGTAAAGCCAAGCACGAGGTAACTCGAACTCTTTTTTTTTCCTGACTCGAAAGAGGAGAGGGCCCGCCGGTCGCTAACTAGATTACTATTAACCAACAAACTGGAGCACCCGAGTCCGTGACGGCGTGCATAGCTTCCCCCAAGCAGCGATATCCCATTGGGCAGACCACGCGGATCAAGGATCAAAAAGGATTAGTTTGGATGCTCTCAGCAACTGTTGGAATTGCGATGCGATGATGGGCCCCGGAGTTTGGGCGGTTAGTCGACTCCCCTGACCAGTGACATCCTCCGCCGTTCGTCCTCGAGGTGTGTCGGCTCCAAAGTTTGGGGAAGAAGACACACACTCCTCACTACTGACGGTTGTGTCGGATGCTACTAGTAGATGCGTAGTTGATTTACGTTCTTGTGTCTCGAGATGGATGACGCAACGATTCAGAGACCGAATACATTATTGACGCCAGAACCAATACCATTACCTAGTGGTTTGGCCGGACATCTCCTTACAAGTGGGCAGGGGAAAACTTCGCGCTGCCCGTCATGCAGTCATGCAAGGATCGGTACGAATGAGACCCCGTACAACTCATCATTAGTCAGTCGGATTTGGAAAAAGTCCATCGTGGAACAGGCGTTTCTATCGACATTCAATGGCTGGTGCCAGCACCCGAGCAGCAGCAGCGTTGTTACTACTTGCTGAGTTTGGACGGGTGAGTTTGCGCGAGGCTTGTGTCCTCGTACAGAGGGCATCAGTGCCCGAGGTCGTACCGAGGATCTTTACTATTTATAAACCTCTTCCCGGGCAAAATTCGAGTTGTTTCTTCCAATTTTGGTCGTTTTCCATTTCTTTATGTTTTTGACTTGAACACGTGTATTTGTCTTGCCGGGAGTGCCGAATAATGATCGTAAGGGACAGACAGATGTTCAGTAGGGAAGATGCATGGAATGTCGAAGTAGCCATATGGAGATTACATGAAGGTAAAGGGGAAGGAAAATATTCTCGCCAACTAGATCACAAGATGCTGGTATGTGCCTATGTATGTATGAGTCGAGTCGCACATTTCATGCCTTTCGAGTTCCGACCGCGGCATCAGACGGAAGGAAGGAAAGTATGTTATGGAGGAGGAGCTGAGACGAAGGGGAAAAAATCCCCCAAAAAACGCCTGAGCATGTGCCTATTTTCTTCCCATCCCCCCTCTTTGTATGGGTAAATATACAGCGCCGCCACCAGTCATCATGCCCGCCCACCCCATGACCGGGTGGATTGAGGGGGGGAGATGAATTAGTTAGTGCATGCCAGCAGCAGCTCCAATTGTAATTGTGCCGCCCGTGTGGCCCAGAATGGAAAGGGATGAGCCCTGCCCCTGAACGGGTCTGCTGATGTAATATAATCTAAGAAATATCATTGGATAGCAGGGACAGGTACGCGGGACATGGTAAATTACCGCCCTGCACATCCAGGGTCAGGTCCCGTCGGGGAACCACCAACAAGAGAACCGCGTCTGGATTCACGCCCTGCCATTGGGGGAGAAGGCAGGGAATGGATGGGAATGATGCTCCTCCCTCACGCTTTGTTTGTCCCTTTTTTATTTTTTTTTTTTTTTCGACCGTCCCAGTAGGAGAAACTTTAGTACGCGGGCGAACTCAGCAGTCACTAACTAACTAACTAACTACCTGGTGCTGCAGACAGGCAGGCACACACAGGCCCCCCTCTCTCCCCTTCTCCTCTTGTCTCTGACGGAGGTACACAGTAATACTACTTACTTACTTATTTACTTACTAGTACTAGTTCACCCGTCAGTGCGTCGCTTAATGCCTTCCCAGTCCAGTCCTCCGCCTCTGCAGTACTAGTCACCCTGTTGTGTCCCAGGAAGGTGTCTGTCAATCGTTTCTGTCGCCTTCCCCTTCCCTGACCCTCTTTTCTCTTTCCTGCTTTCAACCCAGTCACTCTTTTTGGCCTTCTATTAGGACATTATTGTTTTTGTGCAATTTTCTATTCCTATTTTCCATTGGATTTTCGTTTTTCCAACTCTTCATACTACTCTCGCTTCTCCAGAACTGTTGTGGCCCCCCAGGTCGAGCTTCTATTATCTGGATAACTCGAATCTATCGCAAAGGGCCATAATAGAATCTCCCCTGTTGCTGTGGGTGCGAATTTACCCTTGGCCGATTTCCCTTCCTGAACCGCCCGTTCAGGCTCGCTCATTAAACTCTTCCCGACAGAAAGGGGTGCTTGAAACGACCGGTCCAAAGGGCCCTTCCCCGCCAGGGACCGCTTACCCCCAGGGCAGACACCACACTCTTTCATCGCTATCTTCACTCTAATCCTCACCTACTACCATCCTCTGACCCTCTACTGTCGGTCTATACCCGACCAGTTATCCACGTCAAGGCCTGGTCCCATCTACGTCACTCGTCCTCAACGTCGGCCCTTGCAAACTATCCGTACTCTTCCACTACCCCCGGAGGACCGTCGCGACACGTCCAGCTCGAGGACATAGGAGTGAGAAAAGACCATCAGGACTATCAACTTTGAAAGTGGCTCTGAGAGGTTCAAAGGGTTACGCAGGTCGTCCCTTATTCTTCGATCAACCTCCCTCGCTGTATCTTTGAGGTCACTTCTCGCCAAACTCAACCAACCCTTACCCCTTGGGATCCTTTCTTACGTCGACCATGTACCACACCACGAAATCATTCACGATGCGGTCGGCTCTTGCAGCCTCAGCCCTTCTCCTATCCATCAGTCTGCCTGCAACATATGCCTATACCGAGGAATACAATGGCTGCTACTCCGACTCGACGCCACTGAAAGATCAGGGAACCTATACATATCAGAGTGATGGATACTGTCAGAAGCTGTGTTTGAAGGACAACTACTCAGTCTTTGCCCTGCATAACGGACAGGATTGTCTCTGCGGCAACCTGCTACCTGCCTCGTCAGCAAAGGTTGATGACAGCAAGTGTAATATCGCATGTGCCGGCTGGCCTTCTGTGGACTGTAGGTTTTCCGGTTTTGGGCCTTAGATGGCACATCTGCTAACGGTGACGATATAGGTGGTGGCAGCAATACTTATTCCGTCTACCTTACTGGCATTGAGAACGACGTCGACCATTATTCCGCCTCGAGCACAAGTACCTCCAGCAGCGACAGCGAAACGTCTACATCATCGACCCAAGAAGCCCATGTCGTCACTAGCTCTGGCACCACGCAAACCGTGTATGCAACATCCGGGACCGATGCGAGCGCATCTGCAACTGCCGAGGGTGCTACTGAAGCTTCACAGAAGAAGAGCTCAAGTGCCAACACTGCTGCCATTGCAGCTGGCGTTGTCGTGGGTGTAGTAGGAGCTTGTGCTCTTGCTGGCGCTGGCTTCTTCCTGTGGCGCTTCAAGAACCGCAAGTCGCAATACCGTCGTAGTGTTGGTGTGGACAACTATGGCAACCCGATGTCCCAGCACTCCATGTCGGATTCCCGTTTCGATGGTGATTTCATGGCGCAGCGCCGTCAGAGCAATGGCAGCATCGATGATGACCAAGACTTCTCTCGTCGCATCCTGCAGGTGGGCTTAACTGAACGATGAACAGAGATGAAGAGTTCCGGCTAACAGGTACTAGGTGACTAACCCCGATCGACGCTAGAAGGGATGCGATCGCCAGCTTTCCATGGACAACCCCATTTGTGGACCAACATCCTATCTGTGCATGTCTTTTAACGATAGAGCCATGCCCTGCCAGATACCTCTTCCTACCTTACACAACCTTCGCTTGTCACCATAAATTCACCCTTCACGACAGCTATCCTTTCCCTCCTTTTCTTATTTCCTGCTGGACTATACAGCGACCTTGCAATACCAGTGCATGTTTGCAGATAGGATAT